CGGTAAATATGTCACGTTTCACGCGCTGAACGTTCGCATAAAGATTAAAAAAATAAATAAATAATAACTCCTCGCATCTTGAGCTTGGGCCGCCTGTGCCTACTACACAGCCCTGGGGCACCAAAATAAGCTAAAACTAATATCTTTGACTTTGGCGGAATTTGCACATCATCAGACTCTCGACTAACTCTTGTTAAATCCTCTCAAACAGACTGAAAAGCGAGTTCATTCCATTCCATCTATACATCGATCATTAGGCCTGGTCCACACAAGGCCAGAGGATTTGAAAACGGAGATGTCATTCCGAAAACGCTTCAAATGTTTTCCGTCCACGCTACGTCGGAGAAATTTAAAAACGCAACAATCAGCGGCCATTTTGGATTTATGTTTGGAGAAGACTTGGTCAGGGATATCACATGATTATCGTGACGTCATCGTTTTTGAAAAGCTCCTTTTTCAGAATGTTTTCCGTCCACACGAAAACGAAAAGTCGGCGTTTTCAAACTCCTCCGTTTTTCGTGATTAACATGGACGTAGGCCTAGTCGTGGCTAGAAATAAAGCTGCGTCTTCAAATTTCTCCGGCGTAGTGTGGACCACTCCCTTAGTTTTGAAGATCACGATTCTCCCAGTACAGTAAAAGAGGAGCTCTGTTGCCCTTTTTTACCTTCTTGCCCTAAATCTTCATGACAGGTGTCCATCCTCCATCTCCACATCCAAAATCTCCTATGTGACAGAGAACAGAAATTGATTTTGAGTCTATGTGGAGCGTAACCAGATGACTCACGCTGGACCTGTTGAATGCAAATAATAGCAAAAGCTATTGAACTAAAGAAACTTTGAGATTAAATTGAACTAAATTTTCATTGGTTTTAGACAGTTTGCGTAGTTTCTCTAGAGAACTCGTTTAAATTTAATCGAAACAGATAGACTCCACGTTGAGGTGCGTCTGTTCAGTAATAGATCACAGAAGACGTCAGAATGTGGTAAAAACATCACTGACATACTCACCTAACAGCTCGTGTGCCATTTTTTTTCCTTAATACATTTTGACGTCATCTGTGATTTATTACTGAACAGACGCACGGCAATATGGAATCTATTTGTTAAATAGAGCCATCGAATAGCCAACTGGAAAGCCTAACAAGAGACATAAACATGCAGCTCACGGTGACTCACTTGTATGAGTCATAAAGTTCCCTTGCATGACGTCAAGACTGAAAGAGAAAAAAAAATTCTTGGGGATAGACCATTATTTTTTTGAGGGGGAGGGGCTGGGGGATGGTTTAGGCAATTTTCTGGGGCATGATATTTGTTTCTCACCCTAAGGTTTTGCATGTTATTTTTTGGTAGGCAATAGACGGTGCAATAATATTTTTTAACATCAAAAACATGTACAGGACTTGGATAGTAGGAAGCACTTTTTTTTTCTCCATCGCTCCCCTAGGCTCGATTTCCAGCCGTTTTCTGAGTCCACGGTCCTTGTCCCCACCATTGGGAGGAGGATAAACAGCCGCACTCCCAAAACGGCTGGAAATCGAGCCTATCGCTCACCTTGCACGACTATTTTCAGCAGTTTTTGCTGTATAAGA